GCTCAACACAACCTTTCACCTCAGCCATTTCCACGTACCCAGACTGACCTCCTCTTGCTTCTCTACTCCACATTTTTAATTTCCCTGAAGAGACAAGACCATTCCCTATCCTCCCCCACCTCAGTTTCTCCTTTTTCGCCTCTCTGCTCTTCTTTTCTCAGCTGTTTACATTTCTCTTGCTCTTGCTTCTGGCGACTATCCCACCTTCTTTCATTTTTCAAGTCTGACTCTTTTTTCCATTGCCTTGTTTGTCATAGAAACACGACTTTACCAAGCCTTTCTGTTCGATCTGCTTCCTTTTGTGTATTTGTTGGCAGCAGAGTCTGTGTTTCTACATCTTTCCCCCCCTTTTTATTCTGCTGTCTCCCCATCTTACTTCTTCACCACCACACTTCATCTGTTTTTCTCAGCTGCACACCAACCGTTCCCTGCAGTAGCCGGGGAAAATTGTACTGGTGTTGAGTTTCACACAGTATGAAATATATTCAACCATGCAGGAAATATCTGGAGTGCTATGATCCAATTCATGCTTTCCTCCTCCATACAAATATGTGCATTTCTTTAACCCTCTCAGGCTCAAAATAAGTTTTGATAAAAGGACGAACAATTAAGTCCTTCAGGGGTACTTCTGAGTTAAAAAATGCTCATGAAATACATATGTGGAGTAACCAGGTGGGTAGGTTTTAACTGTTGCAAATCTGCAACGCCTGCCTCCAGAGGATAAAAAAACAACAACATAATGACCCAAAGTTAAAAACATATTTTTATTTAATTTTCAAGCTAGAAACTATTTGACACTCAGGGACTCATGGGGGAGTCAGACTGCTGACTGAATTAGTACCACATTGTAAGGGGTCTGTCAGGGGAAACAGCAGCAGCAGGAACAGCAGGACTCCATTCAAATAGCAGAATAGCAGGACTAAACGATGAGGTCAGTTCAGGACTAAACTGATATCTGGCAGTCCCTGACTGTTGCAGAAATAGTGGCACAAAGCCAGATCAACAATGACCTTCAGAACCTCAAACACAATGAGACAAACTGTTGTGTTCAAACAGCTCAACGCAGTGGCGTCCCCATTTTCATCAGGGGGTCAGTAGACATTTTGGGGTGGCACCCCTCTGGTAGAGTTCAGCCAGAATCTGTACATAGTATTGCTCTTTCATTCTTTTTCACTAAAAATCAATAAACCGATGCATCCAACAAATTTACCTCAAATTTGAGAAACACATTTAAAGGTGTGGAACCCTCGCTTAATCATGCAGTAATTGGTCATTGGTAGGAATGAATGCCTTGCAAGTCGTATTGGGGGGTGGGGGTGGGGGGTGAACAGCTCAGATGTCTTTGTTTCAGGAATTAACAGAATGCCACATCAGAAGAGAGCTTAACACGGCAGGATTTGATGTCTTATTTCCTGATATTGGACATCTTGCCTTGGATTGGATAACTGCAATGTGACTACCACTGACTCAGTTTGCTGTGTGACATGCCAGGGAAGAGCTGTTGTTTTAGCGTCAAAAAGCAGAGAATGCCAACCGTTAGCATTAGCAACTCCACTACAGACCTCCTTGAAGTTTGTGTTATTTGTGGAGATAGAATATCCATTTTGCAAAGCAAACTGAGTCAGTGGTAGAGTCACGTTACTGTTAGCCAGTCAAAGGTGAGATGTCTAAATATCAGGAAATAAGACCCTAAATCCTGTCGGCTACAGGTGCATCTGAGATTTTTTCCCCCAAGTACGACTTACTGATCATTCATTCCTACTAGAGACCGCTGAAAATGTATTAAAAATATGAGTGAAGGAGCTTTTTAATGTTTTATCTCCTGAAGAAATTCTCTCGTGTTGTGGGTGTGATAAATGGTTAACTTCCACTAGTCGATACATGCTCAGCTCTCACCTGGATGCTAATCCAACAACAGCCTTCCCCATCATGGTCAAGATGGTTGAGTCCAAAAAGGAAAATTTATAATGTGATGTAGATCCAAGGGCCTTTTTCTGACCCAATCATCTCCATGTTATTTTTTATAGGTGGCTAATGCAGGAAATAGAGGTAAAGGACTATTTTCAGATTGTTTATTAAAAAAAAGTAAAACGTTTCTTAGTGAACTTGCTAAAAACATGAATAAATAAATAAATGAAATTCCTGAACAGTTAAAAATGTTCATTTTCATACCAACACCAAAGAAAAGTGAAGCTATCTGTGGGTCTTGTTTTCCTCTGAACTCCGGCTCCTCAGTCACTGGCGCCATCACCTGGTTGCTGAGCCACTCTGCATACTTCACTAAATCCCCCCACGACTGAACATCTGGGAAAATAAAGTCAGGACTTCATGATGACCCTCACTGCAATGGAAATGCACATGTAAAAGCTCTTCACATCAAACTTTTCCATCAAAGCGTTTAAATATTTTACAGTCAGACAAACCCAGAGCAGATGGCAGCCCGCCGATGAAGCCATCAGGGTCGTCTGCTGTGGAATGAACCGGATCCGAGATAAAATTTAAATGTTTAGAACATCTAAATTACAATATCTGAACATAAAAGATGATTAATGTGGAATATCTAGGGCACATTAAAGCCTGTTTTTAAAACACACCCAAGGGATATAACTGCAGTATGCAAAGTCAATGGAAGAAATAAAGTCCCCCTATATAGTTGCAGGAATGGAAAGTAAATATCTGACATATTTAAACTGCCCTGGATGAGTATTACTGTATTTATAGCAAACAGGCTTCAGAGTGGCATTGTAAAAAAAAGCTTTAGGTCATCTTCACTGTAGACAACTGAAAATAACCTAATCCCATTGACTCATTAGTTATATTTTAGCATCTTATTCCCCTCTCACATCCGATACTTCATTTGCAGTTAAGATCCCTGGTAAGATTTTATCCAATTTAAATACAGCCCATTTTTATTGTTAGAACAGATTATGTGGTGTTTGCCAACAGATTAGCATTGGGGTTAATTTAATTTATTGATGTGCAGGCCTAGTTGCTAGGGAAACCTGTGCAGAGTGCACCCCACCTCTGACACTAATCCTCACGCCAACCCACAAAAACAGTGAGCACTGACTCACACTGTTGGATTATTTGCATGCCAACTGACCTGGGTCGCTTCGGTTCCAGGTTTCTATAACTGATCTTTGCAAGACAATCTGTTTAATCTAAGGAGGCTGGAGTTTTTTTTAATTATCTCTTCCCACAATTTTTCAGACACAAACAGCCAATGATTTCATTCTCTTTTTCAAGTAGAATAAAACGTGTCTTCACCCTCATCTTTCACACATAGTATTTCCTGGTTTTCATGCAAAAGAAACACGCCAAGACTCAAGGTGGTGACCCAGGAAGGGCTAGCCTATTTTAAGTTATGTCAGCTAAAGCTCTGGTTATTTTCTGGATGTGATCCAAGGAGTCGAGGACAGTTTCTGTACTCTGTACCATTTCTCTGCTTAAGTCAAAATTGAATCACTGCCTCTTTCTTTTTATTGGAGTACTGCTGTGGTGAAGTCAAAGTGATTGCCATAACTTGTAGTGCTCTCCGACGACCCTCCTCTGTGAGGAAAAACCCAGGGGTGGGGCCGACTCCGAGAGTCCGAGGCAGGCTGCAGCCAGCTGTGGACCAGATCGCGGACCAAAAACTGAGATCAGGTGAGATTGCAGAGGCGAGCGGCCCACAGTTATGACTCTTGGGTAGTTCCTTCAAGCACAAACACTCCTCTTCAGCATAATGAACAAAAAGACCACAGCAGGTGAGTTGTATACCTTAACTGCGGTTGAATTAGAATGAGGCGAGTAGAAGGGAGCTGAGAATGCTCACACAACACCCATGGATGTGATCGCCCTTGATTATGACAGAACAGAGTCTGCAGTTTGTAGAGTGTTCAGCAGGCATGGTACATAAAAAAACTGGTGTGATTTGGATTAACTTGGTTCATTATGTCAGGTCTGATTAGTAGATTAACTTCACACACACACACACACACACACACACACACACACACACACACACACACACACGAAACACAGAGTTCATAATACAGGAACAACTTAAAACAATGATCTGGTGGATAGAAGTAAAATATAACTGATTTCGACAGCAAAAAGTGTTTTGTTCCTTAACCTTCTCAGGCTCAAAATAAGTTTTGATAAAAGGACGAACAACTAAGTCCTTCAGGGGTTCTTCTGAGTTAAAAAATGCTCATGAAATACGTATGTGGAGTAACCAGGTAGGTAGGTTTTAACGTTGCAAATCTGCAACGCCTGCCTCCAGAGGGTTAAGGCTACAGCATTGAGGCAATCTAAACCTAACCACCAGACCACCAGAGATGCAACACTTCCTCTTCAGTCTATGTCTTAAAGAGTCAACACTTTTTATCTTACAGGGATAGACTATTTATTATGTCCCCATTTCTGAGTTTAAAAATGAAAGTTCTCATTTCAAGAACAATACGCTGCTGTCTGTAAACATTCGAAATGTGAAGAAGACCTCCATCCATTTTCTGTCAGTGTTTGGTTTTAGGAATTATGTGCCTAAAACAAGCAGTTTCAAAAAGTATTCAATTGTGATGTCACAAACAGGAAGATTAAAATAGAACCACCTCTCAAGTACTGGAGAGAGCTGCTGCTGGATGAGTTGAGCCTCAACTCAAGACCCTCCAGAATATCAAAGCTTCTCAGCTTATAGCAGCCTGAGCGTGAGACGGGCTGGGCATGGCCAACTCAAGCTTGTTTTTATCGACAATAGAACTATTGTTACTCAAGTTAAAATTCACAACATGTCTCCTTTAAACAAAAACTCATAGTTTTGTGGCTCTTGAGGACTTTTTTCTTTATGGCTTTGGCTCTCGTCAAAGATAGTTTGTAGCCACCTTGGGGCACCAGCCAGTTTTATTTACAGGTTGTAGCTGGAATTTAAACCTGCAACCTTCTCACTTCTCAGTGCTACCAACTGCACCGCCACGCAACCAACCATGAATGTAACAAACAAACAAACAAAATAAAAATCAAAGCAACAAACCAATATTTATTACTTCTATCATATTTTTATTCTCCTTCACCAAAATAATGTTATAAATACAGACATTCATCAGCCTTGTCATCATGGGTACCGATTAGCACACGTTTTAAAGCATGCACACATTAGTCCAGCAATAAAGAAACAAAGGGAATACTTATTCTTCAAAATAAAACATTTTACATTGTTCTGCTGCACTAACAGTCTTTTGAGATTGAGTCCAGCTCGATGACATATTTTGTGAAATGTCTGGACATTTTCATAATTTCTTTGGTGTGGAAAATGAATAGCATCTCCTGCAGAACAACAAATCTTTGTACGTGCTCAGAACTTGAACAATAGTGAATACTTTCCTATAATACCTCAGTTTTAAGGCCTTGGCTTAGAAAATATGTCTCCTCAATGCACAGAATACAAAGAAAACCAGAGTTTGAATATTAAATAACGTCCATGATAACACACACACACACACACACACACACACACACACACACACACACACACACACACACACACACACACACACACACACACACACACACACACACACACACAGGGAATAGGTGCTTTAAATGACCGACAAACTGATGCATTATTTAAATAAACAAAAACAGGTGAAAAATTAATTAAATTCCATTACATTAGGGGGAAAAAAATCAAATGTGATACTTTTGAGGAACACAAAGTTTACGGCCTCAGAATAAAGGCAAATCTCTTGGAAAAAAAATAGTAGAAAATATAAAGCTCCAGTGTCCTGATAGATTTTTAAAAGTCTCTTATGAAGGAAGATCTTTTACTGCAACACACATTTGTCTTTGTTGCTGTATTTTCTCCTCCTCATCTCTAAACCTCGCTCCAATCTCTCGTCCTCTTCCAGTGCACTAAAACACAACCAGAACACAGGGAAGAATTCAAGATAAGCTCTGCAGAAATCTTTTCTGTTTTTTTCAGCCATGCACTCACATTCTCTCTTTGGCATCGATGTCTCTGATGATCTCATCTCGCTGGTTGACCAATGACACCAGCTCCTGGAGGAGCAGCTGCTCCCTCTGCTGCTGAGCAGAAGACTTCTGCCAGTCTGCAAAAACACACTGTGGGTTTAAAGTCATACCATGCAACTTTTTCATGTTTTAAATATTTTCTTGAAACAGAATGTGCTAAAATGACCTTTTAAATGGTTAATGAAAAGTCACTCAGACCTCTACTGCCCCCATGTTGCACTTGCAACTTAGGGGGGCCGGTTCAGTCCCTGTTGGTTTTAGTAAAGTGGAGCTGACATGCCTGGTGCTGCAGTCTGCTTACAGCACGTTTCCTGCATGTTTTAGATCATGAACACAGCTGATTTGTTTGATTTAGTGATGAATCACGCTTGTAGAAACCAATGAAGAGCAGTAACGCTCGCACAAGAAATGAGCATTGAACATTTTCAAGGAGGTCCGTCTTGGTGCTTTCGTTTTATGAAACACTGCCATCTTTCCATCCAGGCAAGGACTACGGTAAATGCTTGGGCTAATGTGTTTACTTGTACTGTTGTTCGGGCTTTTGCAAAAGCCGGCATCATTCACGAGGAGACGGACGGCAACGAGACAGACTCTGACTGTGACGAGAGAGAACCTGGCTTGTTTGACTGTACTCTAGACCAGTTGTTCTTATCAGATACAGAAGATGAGGACTTCAATGGATTTGATGATTAATTAATAGCACTCAAATAAAGCACAACCAAACTCATATTTGCTCCCGCTGCCTTTTTAAATAAAACACAATTCAAATCACACTATTTTCTTAGGCCTATTAATAACACTCATGATTTTGTTCATGTGGAAAGTTTGTGTGGTTAAATCCACCAACTACTGGTAAACACATTCTGAACTTCAACACAGCGCATCAGCGCATAAGAAGAGCACGAGCCGTCAGCGCACGCAATGAGGAAGTGCACGTGCGCTCTAAACCAGGTCTGAACCAGGACTAGACCAGTAAAGTGAAGCATGCTTTTGGCTGTTTATAATTTTCACAATGTCTGGTTTGCACTGATATGTTCCGAGTCCGCACAGATGTTTTACCGGTAGGTTTTATCGCGCCCGCGCCCTATAACCTGGTGTGCCTTTTGTGTGTGTTAAATACCAAAAAGACACCCGTAACTGAAGCTGCTATGGTCGTGAAAATATGGTAATCTTTCTGGTATTCATTCAGTCTGGATAGTTCCAGTGCATCCTGGAATATGAGTGGTGCTCCAACTTTCTTCTTCTTTGTTTTTCCTCTAGATGAACAAGAACGTTAGAAGTTTGTCATGATAGCATTAGCAGTAGCGCAGAATAGCACTAGCAATAGCTCAGACAAGCGTTGTTCTGCTGTTAGCATTACCACCACCAACATTTATATATTGCCATCGTCGAAGTGATTTGGGACAAGCTAATTTAAGGTGGTGTGTCTAAGTTTACGACATGTTCAACCAGCTTTTGTCAGAACGAACCATTTCTCTGTAGCCATTACAACATTATTTATTTACATAGGAAAGCAGGCTGGAGGCAGCACAGGCTGTTTGGTATATTACTTTAAACACCCCAAGCTGCCTAAAGACAAAAACAACAATGTAAATGTGGTTTTGAACTCTAGGACACTTTAAAAAGGAAAACAAAGTGGCATGACCGCATATTTATGACCTACTGACCTTCAATAGCCATTATGACCCGCAGTTCTCTGGTGAGAAGCTCAAATCTTCTCTCCAGATCCTGCTCCTCTTGTCTGTAGATCAAGAAAATAATCAGAAATATGGTAAACAAGCAGGATTCTTAATTGGAAAAGTCATTTTCAGTTTCCTCACAGTAGCTCCAAGTTGTCTTGTCGGCGTATCAGAGCGTTCTTTTTGTTCACCAAAGTGAACCACTCCTGAATCAGTCTCTCCTCTTCGTCACGGTCACTCCCTAAACGAAAATGGACAATCAGTAAAGCAAAACAGCATCATGCAAGGATAAGTGCAGTCAGATTCATTCACATACGAGTGAAACTGACCCGTCTCCATGAGGCTTCGCAGTCGTTTCTCCACCACAGCAGCTCTGCTGTCGATGTGCTTCTGCTCTGTTTCCAGTGCTGCCAGCTCACTCAACACATACTGGCTGGTGTCCTGCAGGCACTGACCACAAGCCCCACCACACACACACACACACACACACACACACACACACACACACACACACACACACACACACACGCACGCACGCACGCACGCACGCACGCACGCACGCACACAAAATGCAAAAACACAAACACATAAGAATTTAAATGTGATAATGGCCAGCAGCCACAAGAAAAGGGAAAATGGGGTGGCCTAGTGAACTAGACCAAAGTCTTGCTTAGCAAAGTTTGACCAATCACAGCTCTCTATAGTGGTTTCAAATCGATAGAACGCTGTGATTGGTCCACAATGGTGAGGCAATCAATGGACATCAATTCTGAACTATTTGGACTTGGGCTTTATTAGAATCAAGAGCAGATAGATGCATTTAAGTCCTTTTTCACAGTGTACTGCCTCGTTTACTGATATCTGTTGTGGTGAGTATGTCATGTTGTTCATTGTCCAGTAGCATGCGGAGATCCTTTAAAAGACAACGGTAGAACCCGCCCCATGACTGAGAACCGTCAATGGAGCATTGCCAGACTAAACAAAATATTATTTAGTCTGGCAATGCTCCGTTGACGGAGCAAAGGGAAGGGAAGGTTTAGTCTGGCTTGCCAGGCTAGGTGAGGACAGCAAAGGGAAGAGTATTTGAAAGCAGAAAGTGGAGAAGAAACTAAAAAAAAATTAGAGGTCAGAAATTTGTAATAATAGCAACAGAGAAGTTAGACATTTACAAATTAAGTTTAGAAAAAAAAGAAGACCTACAGAGAAAGGAAAGAATACTTAACTGACCATTGTTTCTTGCTCTTGTTTAGGAGGCTCAGCTAAACTCTGCAACTCTGCAAATGCAGAAACACATAAAGGACCAATTCAAACATTAAAGGTGTGGGAAACTCGTTTTAAACAATACATTTACAATGGTCTCTGGTGGAAATTAATGCCTTGAAAGTCATACATGGGAGCAAAAATAAACCAGAAGCGCTTGGATCAGCACAGACAAGTCTGATGCAGCAGAGAGCAGAACAACATGACATGATTTGGAGTTTTATTTTCTGATATTTGGACGTCTCGCCTCGGATTGGATAACAGCGATGCGACTCTACCCCTGACTTGTAACTTGGATGTTTTATCTCCACAAATAACACAAACCTGGATGAGTTTTTCTGTGTGGTGGAGTTGCTAATGCTAATGGTTATATTTAACTAGTTGAGACGTTCTCTGCTGTTTCCTGGACGCTAAAACAACAACGGCCTTCCCCGTGGTGAGTCAAGACGGGTGAGTACATGAATCTTGAGTGACAGTGTGAGGTTGATCTGTCAGGCTTTTCAGGAGATGGATGTTGAAGACTATTTTCAATATTCAGCCTGCATGAAAAACTCAGTGACTGATTATAATCAGAAATAATGATTAAAAAAAGGTTTTTAGAGTTCAACACCTTTAATCACTAAAAAGGAAAGAATAAAGGTAAAAATAAAGAATAAAATCAGTGACTCCATCTTCAGGTACCCACCTGTTGTTGAGTTTATCTTTGAATCTTCTGCCTGTATAAAGAAAATTTGACATTTCAGTAACTAGAGGAAAATTTCACATTACCTGCTTACTTCAACTTCACATAAAAAGACTGGATAAACCGTGAAGAGGTATAAGAATCAAAATCATGTTTTATTGCCAAGTAAGTGAGAGTCAGAAATTACTAGGTATTTTCTGGAATGGTGCAAACATGGCATGCATCAAAAAAAGATGGTGAACATAAAAAACAAAAGAAACGTGAGGTGACTAATGCAGATCAGTATGATGGTTATTTGGTCCTACAGCAGAGGGGAAGAAGACAATAAAGAAAACTAGATCACCTGTCCAGATTTTCCTGGTTTGGTGATCAATCTTGGGGGTGGCACTGGGATTATTGACTGATCTATAAACACAAAAATAGACACAAAGTGCAAACTAACAGAAAAATAGAGAGGATTAACGGGGGGGGGGGGGGGGGGGGGGGGGGGTTAGGTTTCTACCTTTAACAGCTCGTTTCGTCCTGGGCGGTGGAACGACCAGCGTGCTGCTCCCTCCTTCCTCCAGACTCATGCCTTCGTTCAGCCTGGCCATGCAGAAAGCTGCAGCATCGACGCTGGTGGGACCGGCGTGGGCCAGGCCATAGCTGGACTGACTGCTGTTGTGCTCTATCTGCAGCACACTCAGCTCCTGGTTGGTGAAGTGTGAGCGAATCTGGCTGAGGTAAGTCATAACTATGAGCCTGTCAGGGATTGGCAGAAGGACCATGTCGGACGGCTCCAAGAGACGAGAAATGCCCAGAGACTCAAACTCATCAAAAGCCTAGTTTCAGAAACAAGAAACAGTTCAACTGCAAGGATCAACAAATGTGCAAATACAAAATATCTCTTAAAAATGACCCTGGGAACCAACTTCAGTACTTTCAAAACTTTTTTGGAGGTTTTAGAGCAGAACATGTTCAAAAATAAGCAAAACTAGGTAAAATGTGCATAATTAAAAAGAAAAAATAACACTTAAATTGGGGTAATTTACCTTTAAAACCAAATTTGAAACTGCATCTGAATCGATTGGTAGCAATTATTGTAAAGTTTTAGCCACACTGGTGACAGCAGCCCAGCTAGCTTTAGCCTTAAAGAGCTAAATATAGATGTCTTCATCCTTACCTTCTTATTGTTGAGCCTGATATTATGAGAGTCCAACTGGTCAAAATCTCTGAGAAGGCAAAAACAGGAAAAACATAAAAGATGAAAAAATATGTCAAGAACATTATAAAAACTGAAAGAAATGCTACTAAAAACACAGATTTAACAGAGAGAAGGGGATTACATTTTGTCTGGATGGAAGTGGTGCAGTATGGCACAGAAAGCCAGGCCGTTTCTCCAGGACGTGTTGAAGTTTGTGACCTTTACGCCCTGGTACTTGTTGGTGATGCTCTGACACCACTCCAGGAGTGACTGGCTGGAGTTGACAAGGTCCTGACCAGAAAACAAATGTTAGCTTTGACGATAAATATCCCAGGACCTAATGTTCTGTGAGAGTTAGTCTTGATTACATCAGATGTGTCATCTGTTCCATCAGCCTCCTCTCTGAAAGTTGGCACAGGATCAGCAATCTTAACCTCAGAAGCTTCTTCCTCTGCTAACGTAGGAAGCCAAGAAGTCTTAATCTCAAAATGATGGGAGGAAACCATGGTGTCTTTTGTATGGGATGGTTGTTTGTTCTTTCCACCATCAGGGAGGTCCGAAGACTGCTGTTTGAATCTACGAGAGAACAAGACATGTGATGCGTAAGGACAGCAAATCTTCTAAAAGAAGGAACGAAGACCTACTCTCACCAGTGGCAGATATGAGACATGCAAATGTGAGGAGATGACCAGGGTGAGCAAGTGGATGAGAATAAATGACTTGCTGTTAGACTGAGGAAGACATTACTTGAAGGATTCAAGATTTGAGTTGAGGGTTTGTGGAAACTGCTCCCTGAAAGCAGGTCTATGATGTTTGTATTTTGCCCCAGAAAGAAACATCGTTTAAGAGCAGACCTTAACCAGTGATATATCTGCACCATATCCAACGCTAGCTTAAATCTGTAGAACAGGTTAGCTTAAAAACTCTAACATGGTTACAGAACTCTCACCCCCCCGCCCCCCCCCTCCCCCAGTTGGATATCATTCCTAGGCCATGCCCCCCCGGTATGAGAATGTGTATTGCCAGAGTAAACAAGAAAGCACCAGTAGCTGTTTTCTCAACACATTCTCACTTCCACCGTCTCGGAAACAAATGCTTCGTCAGTCACCTTCTGCATCAGACACCGACACCAAAAGTGCCCTTTGTTGTCACCGTTGTACGAAAAGGGGTTTTAATAACTGCCAATCCCAATGCAGCGTCAGAGTGACGCGACGGGCTCTCCGCTAGCGCTGTACCGAACACACACATTTTATCGCATCCAAACCTTAACCCTCTCGCTATTTCTAACCTTCCCCTCATCTGGGCTACCAACCAACACATTCTCATTCCGAACGTGTGGGACAGAAACGCTTGGTCACGTTGAGGGGATGGTTAGAGGTAGCAAGAGGGTTAAGGTTCAGATGGGGTCAAATGTGCGTGTTCAGTAGAGCGCCAGCGAACATCCCATCTCATCACTCTGCATTGGGATTTGTAGTCGGAAAACCCCCTTTTTGTACAATGGTGATGAAAAAGGGCACTTTTGGCATCAGAGTCTGATGCAGAAGGTGACTGAACAAGCATTTGTCTCCGACTCGTTGGGAGTGAGAAGGCGTTGGTTTTATAGGTCCTAACATCTTCCGTTGTCCACCACTTCAAATGGTGTTTGTCATTTTGGGACTCTGGTAGTTTGAACCTCCTACACCAGTGGTATTCTGTTGTAGGATCCCAGGGTTCAGTGAAACGGACAACCAGATGGTCCAATGGTTGCTTTGGGACCGAGCCGTGTTATTGGCTGAGGTTTTGAGACAAATGCAAAAGAACCAATTCATTATTATTTTCCGTATTTTTAAACTCCACAGCATATTTACAACTATACTGTTATGAAGTTGTTAAGAGGCATGAAACAAAATGTTTAAAGCTAGCTTGTTTTGCTGATTTACCATTGTAGCTTTAATGTACACTGACATGAAATGTAAGCAAGTTCAAACATACCTCAGATCAGACAGGACAGCATGACTTTTGCAACACGCCACTAAAGAAGTTTAAATCCTTGCATCATCACTCTTAAACTCGCAAAATATAAAAAGCGGGATACAACTGTCAGTATTTTAAAAGCAAGACTGCAGCAGCATGATTAAAATCTCAAATCTGGACTCTGAAATTCAGATTTTTAGACACAGATGCATTGTTACTTTAAAATAGCATAAAGTCTCCAGTTTCTGTTAACTTACACTTTGTTCTGTCCAAAAGGGTCTTCTGTGTCATTTAGTGTTATGTCCTGCTGGGCATCAAAGCAGGCCACAATAGGGAGCTGACTCAGATCAGAAAGGTCAGTTGGGACATCTTTACCACTGTCGGTCTCTGTGGCATCACAGTCAATTTCACCAGGTGCAGGAATGAGGCGTTTCAGACCTCGAGAGCAGGAGACAGGCGAAGTGTCGCCTGACATCTGGATAATTTTAGTCAGTAAATGTTTCTCTTCTTCTTGGAGCTGTTGGACTTTTGAGATTTTGTTGGGCACATTAATTGTTTGTGGACTGAAGCTCATTGGGACATTTGAGTCTTTCTTGAAAGTGGAGGTTTTCTCATCCACTTCACTAACTTTTGTCTCATCCTGTGTCTTATTGTGTGTTTTACAGACTTTTTGCCCACTGTCAGCTTTTTCATTCTTTGCTTTTTGAGAAAGAGGCACAGGCATCACTAATGGTTGTACAAATTCTGCCTCTTCACCACTTGGTACCGTTCTTCCTCTAGTGACATCATCACTCTGTTTTATCATCAGTGGCTTTTGTGAATTCTTGTGCTTTAGTTTGACCACTTGCTCCATTTGCAAAGGATGGTTAGGACGCTGCCTGTCGGTTTGATTGACACCAAGAGATTCAGGTTTATCGGGCTGTTTAGCATCTGAGCTCTGGCAACGTGTTTGGGATGCAGAGGACATCCGTGATACAGCAAGAGGTGGACGTTCTGGGCTGAGGACAGAAAAGGACAATTCAGAACTAAAAAATGCAGCCTGTGACTAAAGTAGCCAACCACTGATCCAACCAGCCATCATGCAACATTCTGCTTTGGCAACAAACGTCTCAAGCAATAAGATTGCCATCTTGTTAATGTTGCAAAGCAAAGCAAAGCAAGTGTGCTGAATGTCTCAGAATTCGAAAATGATTTTAACAATAATCTCCTAACTCCTTCAGCACTGTGAAAGGACCATGAATCTTCAGAGTTTTTCCGTGAGGTATTCTTCAATCCGCTTCATGTTTGCCACTAGATATCATTGGCTCTTTTTTATTTTTTTGAGGGGACAATGGTGGTGCTGTTGATGAATTTACAGGAAGCGGCGTACTGACCAATCACAAGCTTGCGGTCTCCGTCACTTTCGACGGATAGTTAAAAAGTTGGCCGTGTCTCCGTCAGCCTCTGCGAGCCTGTCGGAGAGCCCTTGTGCCAACGCACAATGGCATTGCACGTCTTCGTACCGACGCAGATGGAGAAGTATAAATTAGGCTTAAGAATTCAAGCTATAGTTGGTGTGCTAAGCTAACTGTGTGTCACCCCGCAGTGCATGCTGGGAAATAGGGCCCATTCTCAGTGATTGACAGCTCCCTCTTGTGGATACGCAACTCTATTGGTCAATGCTCTAGACTCTAGGTTTTGCTGTAAAGGCCAGGGGAGAGACTTATGGTAAATATTATTTACTTTTATGTAATAGAATAGGGTCAGACAGTCATATTTACAAATATTTAATGTACTTTAAAAGTTTTTAAACTACGTACCCCAGCTTTAAGCATGCTACATCACCACAATGACAAGTGAACCATTTTTTTCTACCATATTTTTGCAGATCTAAACCCTCATAAATAGAAACAACAAATCCAGGTGTTCATCATCTAATTTCACAAGCATGAGCTTAAATTTGCCTATTTAATCAGTCATTCAAATGCTGATCATGACACTTCGTCTATTTACAAAACTTCAGACAAAATTCATTATCAAGGTTCAATTGAATGAAGTTCCACTTCTCTTAAAAGCATGATTCAGCGTTTGTGTTCTTTTGGGAATTACTCACACACCAACACACAGCTCACTCATGAGAAGGGCTTTCAGCAAATGCCCAGGATGCAAGTTTAGTAAATATTGTAGAGTTAAGAAAAAATGTACACAAACACATCAGGTTGAGTTCTTGAATCCACAAGTAGCAACAAACAGATCTCTGTTACCAATTATCCTCCCTTCATCCCCTACTCACCCTGCTTCCCCTTCCATGTATAGCTCAGCCAGCCAGATGGAGCCAAGATCTTCCTGTCCTTTCTCATACTCTACTTCTTCTTCATCCTCCTCTCTCAGCCACACTGGGATGGCACCGTGTTTTAGATTGGCAGAATCCTTCCTAACTGGTCTCAGACCAGCATTGCCTGGTGCTGTTTTAACTGCACTAACAGAGATTTGGGGTTTGACAGAATTAGCAGGTCTGGTTGAGCCCAATCCTGTCCCAGTGTGGGATGGGACAGTTCCTGCTGGTTTGGGCTCAGACTTGGACTTTCCATCCTGTAGTTGTGCATCATAAGCAATAGCATCCAGATCTGCCTCCCTCAGTGGAGGCCAGATGTCTGATTGGTGCTTATTTCCTTTCTGGGTGGTTGGAACAAATGAAAAAGAAGGAGGTGTCTCCTCTACTTTATTTTTTTCCTCTTGGATTTTATTCTCTTCAGAAATGTTCTCCTGTAGCTTTACAGCTGTCTCTGCCTTTACCCCGTCTTCTCGTTTGTTCTCATGATCCTCTCTCACCTTTTCCATCCTCTTTCTCTCCTTTTCACTCCCCTGCTGATCCTTCTCTTTCTCTCCCTCCTGCTTCTTTATTTCTATTTCCTTCTCCAATCCACCCTTCGCTTTTTTCGCTGCTTCTTCCATTTCCAGCCTTTCATGTCGTATCTTCTCTTCTTCTTCTTCTTCTCTTTCCCCTCTCTCTCTTTTCTCACATTGGGCATTTTTAGTGTGTTCCATCACTTCTCTTTCCCTTCTCTCCATCTTCTTTTCTCTTTCCTTCTCCTGTTCAACAGCTGCAAGTCTCAGACTTGCCACCAAACTCACCTCCTGCACTGCATGTTGTTTTTGAGATAATTCTGTTTCACAGACTTTATCTCCCAAAACATTCTGACTTTCTGCTGCATCAGAGAAAATCTTGGGTGGGGAAATGCTCAGATGATCATCAATTGGCTCAGACGAACAAAACGTCACTTTATCTACTTTATGTAAGCTCAGCTGGGCCTCATCATCTGGAAAAGTGGATAAATGGTCTGCAGAAGACTGAGAATGAACTGTATCAATGGATCCAGTCGTGTGGAGTATAGAGACGATCGTCCCGTAGCTGAGGGACAAATATGACAGACAGGAAAACTTTGAGACAGAGCTCACCATAAATGACTTGCAAACCACAGAACCCTGTGATGAAAAGACAAACATCATGCTCAACTAGTTTCTTTCACAGACTTTGTTTTGGTGCAAACTGAGATTATTTTAACCAAAACATGCTGACGACTAAAAGCATGAATCTCCTTCATGATGCAGATTTATCAGATACACAAGACAGGTTCTCTGTGCAGAGTGGAATTTACCTACACAAACACTTAAATTACAGCACACATCTGCTGTGACATTGTTTCGATAAGCTTCTGCAATGTCACATGATCTATTTCCATCCAGTGTTGCATTAATGTTTCACCAAGATCTTGCATTGATGATGGTAGAGTGTGACTGCTGAACAAAGCCTTCTCCAGCACATCCCAGAGATTCTCAATGGGGTTAAGGTCTGGACTCTGTGGTGGCCAATTCATGTGTGAAAACGATGTCTCATGCTTCCTGAATCACTCTCTCTCTATTTGAGTCTGATGAATCCTGGCATTGTCATCTTGGAATATGCCTGCGCCATCAGGGAAGATGGAATAACCTGGTCATTCAGTATATTTGGGTAGTCAGGTGATCGCATTCTTGGAGCACATCCTGTTGCTGAACCTAGACCTGACCAACTGCAGCAACCCCAGATCATAATACTGCCCCCACAGGCTTGTACAGTAGGCACTAGGCTTGATGGTGCATAGCTTCATCTGCCTCCCTTCTTACCCTGATGCACCATCACTTTGGAACAGGGTCCATCTGGACTCATCAGACCAGTTTTTAATAATGCATTGGACAGTTCTTAACCTAATTGTAGTTGTTTCTGCAATCTCCTTAGACGTTTTCTCTGCATGATGCATGCTAATGATCTGACTGTTCTCAAACAAACATCTTTTTCACGACCACCAGATGTGTCCTTCTAGATGGTTGTTTAAGAAATGAGAAGTTGGGGTTAAATAACTTGTTGCAGCTGAAAGATAATCGCCATGAAATAGTTATCCAATAGGAGGCTCATACTGTATATATTTGCTTAGTTAAACCCAGATGGCTACTTTTGTTGACCGGGCAGTGTATTTCTTACATGACTCCGACTAATCACACACTGCTTTATGGTATAAAACTTAAATCTCCATACTGATTGTTATATTTGGTTGTAAATATTGTTACTTTTCGTACAATTACGTTTTCAGCTGTGTTTTACCTTGTTATACAACTTCTTATCAAGCCCTGCAACACTATTGTGCCAAAAAAACAAAAATATTAGATGCATATTATGTAAACAATGACTGAACTGTTCACTTTATTGAGAACTATTTATGCAGTCTAAATGATGGATTCAAATGTTTGTTTGCTACACCTTATTCTTTTTATCGTTTCATTTGATCTAGAGCTGAGTTTTAGCATTTTATTGTAATTTCATTCACAGTTTTTGATTCATTTGTATTGGTCTGATGTTTTATTTTTTATAGTTAATCTTTATTTTATCTTGCTTTTGATGAATGAATCGATTATGAATCTTGAGGATGGACAAAATACGATTTGACTTCAACCCATTCCATTTTCGACTGATCTACATCACAACACTGTCAAATCCATATTCTGAATGACTGTAAACAAATGAAGGAAAACAGGCAATTCCCTCAGACTTGTCTCCTAAAACAGCTCACTCCATGACAGGAAGTGCCATGCAAACTAAAGGTAGGTTCCCAAAATAAACTAAAGATTTCTGAAGACTGTTACTAATCAAGAGTCTGTGTCATGGTCTGCGTCTGCCCCTTCCTTCGTGTGTCTCCTGATGTTTCTCCATCCTCACTAGATTCCCTTCTGTGTCTCATAGCACCCTCATGTGTCCTTTGTCTGTGTCTCAATTATGAGTCTTAACGTTGTTACCCTTTTAAATCATTCCTCCCAGGTCAGCTCCAGCCTCTTTGTCCCCAGCTCAGTGTATGTGTGTGTGTGTATGTCCTCCTCCAGCTAGTTTGTGTGAGCCCTTCCCTCTGTCTTAGATATTGTTGTTAGTTTTGTGTTTAGGTATTTGCCCTCCTCTGTTTCTGTTTTCCCAGTTAGATCATTAGATTCACCTGCCTTCCCTCCAGCCCTCACTCCACACACCTGCTGCCATTTTGCCTAATTACTCCTCCCTGTTGTATATAAGCCCTGTCTTGTCTCTGTCTTGTGTCGGTCCATTGTTTGTAATTCTGTCAGTCTCGTCTCTCTTGGATTATTAGGGTTTTTTGGTCTTCTCGAGTTCTCTAAGGTTTTTGGATTTCCAGATCGTTATCTGGTTTTTGGATTTTGGCTCCCAGCCTTGGATTTACTTTGTTTTTGGCTCACCTTTAAATAAAGGATTTTACTCAATCTTCATCCCTGCCTCGTGTCATCCTGGGTACTGCATTTTGGGTCCTACCAACTCCGCAACGTGACAGACTGCCATCAGGAGGACAACATATACCCATTCAAAGATTGGGAAGAAGTCAAACAACTGAACATTTTCTCCCTTGAAATGGCGGTGGTCGTATCATGATATGGGTGTGTTGGTGTGTCAAGCCCAAGACGGTAGGAATTCTGATTTACTCTATAAAAAGTTGAAGACTAATGTCAGGACATTTGTGTAAAATGAACCTCAAGAGAAAAAGTGCCATGTAGAAAAACATGCATGCAAAATGTTAAATTTCCACAAAATATTTCTTAATGAGTAAAATGTGCTTGCAATGGCAAAGTCAAGGTGCTGAAATGTTAGATTTTGATGCAAAATATCAAAAGTCGGCATGAGCTCCCATTTCTATGACTAATTACTTTTATGCAGAAATTTCTGGCATTACAGCCTAGAAAACATTCCTAGTTCAGCACCAGCGGCAGGCAGAGACTCACCCTCTGTATAAAAGCCCAACTACTGCTGACATGAAGCCAGCAGCTTCCTCCTCCTGCTGCTCAGAAACACACTCATCTGCCTCTGCATGTGTACATTTCTCAGCACTACCACACGCAAACAGAAAACACACAATCACACATTTAATCTCTCTCTAAATCATTATCAGCATGTTAGTAATAAGAGGAGAAAAAGCTTCAGGTGAGATCTGCTATGAAAATGTCTCCAGTTAGATGATGTTAGTCAGCACGAGTGCAAGTTTGTGAAACTGTTCTACACAGACTGCAGCCATCACTGACTCACCCCCCTTTTACACCTTCTTCTTCCTCTTTCGCTCCGCAGCTTTCCATCCTCTTTTCTGCTCCCAGCTCTGTTGTGGTCTCCTCCACAGCCGCCCACAGGTTCTTCTCTGCCTCACACACTGGCTCCTCTGTGATCATTAAACTCTCCAGACCCTCATCAACAGCATTCACTGGTTCCTTCTCATCCGCTCCCTCCCGTTTTGGTTTGGACGATTGGTGGTTTTGTTCCTCCTGGAGTTCTGGTCCTGGTTTTGAAGGCACAAGTGGGTCCAACACATGGACTGTCTGATCACCAGATGGTTCAAGGGAATGTTCAGGAGAGGTTACTGGTTGCACACTGGGGTTCTCTGGCTTTTTAGGCTCCTGTTGTGCAAGCGGTGAGCTGAGTCGCATCACAGCTGGATGCATTTCTGGATCTGGTTTCAGTTGGTGATCCTGTCTCACAAGAATGTCCGTCTCACCTGCATCTTCTCTGGATGAGCTGGAAAAAAAAATAAAAAAATTACAAATGTGACTTCAGCAAGTCGGATAAACAGATTGGAAAAAGCAGAAAGAGCAGAAAGAAGCCTCCTCATCTGTTCTTACCCTCTGCACAAAGGTTTTGCACCATCCTTGGCAGAGCCTTTTTCAGGTAAATCTGTCCCACTGGTCTCTTCTAGCACTTTCCACAGAGGAGTCTCTGCATCAGATGACCTCTGTGGAGGTGGTGTGCATGTCAAGACCTCTAAAGTCATTGTTTTGTTTTGAGAACTCAGCTGAGCAGTGGTGCCTGAATGGATGTCAGGTGGAGAACATAAACCTGTGAAGGATGTTTTCTTTTCTTGAATTTTAGTTTTTGACAGTGAGCTTTCCTTCATGACAGAGGGTAGCCTCAGACTGGAATAAGTAAAGAAAAAGATGTAGAAGAATGTAAGAAACCAGTCGACACAGGAAAAACCGAACAGAGAACTTAAGCCAATTTCAGTAGCATCATCAGTGGAAGCAGACAGTGATTGATTATGCATCTGCATGACATAATTCTGTCTATCACATTCATGCATCCACTCAACAAAGAAAATATAGATTTCAAATTTAAATAACCAATGAGATTACATTCAATTGTAAAATATCAACTCAGGAAACTGCAAATGTTTGCATTTTCTTTACCAGTGTGTTATATTTACTGACATTAATGGAGAAAAACCCAAATTGTAAAACAATGCTTCACAATCTTTTCCTTTATTTTGAAAATCCCACATTATTCTTTTATATCATCGATTTAATCAAAATAGCTACACAGTGTTCTATCATATTCTGTATTTATAGTGTTGAGTTTTTACTGCTAATAAATCAGCAATGACATGTTTTTAAATTTAAAGTCCCATTAGTCATCACACACCGGTGAAATTCATCTCCGCATTTGACCCATTCCCATGGGGAGCGTTGAGCTGCACCTGTGGTCGCGCTCGGGAACTATTTGGTGGCTTAACCCCCCAATCTAACCAACTCCTGTAGCTACCATGGCCAAAAACCCGAAGACCCAAAGGAAGTCCCATGACACGCTGGAGGGAATATGTTACTCAGCTGGCTAGCGAACGCCTTGGAATCCCTGCAGAGGAGCTGGCCTAAGTGGCTGGGGAGAGGGAGTCTGGGCCTCTCTGCTTAGGCTGCTGCCCTCGCGACCTGACCCCGGATAAGTGGACAATAACGGATGGATGTAGACGGGTTGTTCGATGAGGCATCTGCGCCTGAAGGGAAACGCTGAAGGAGAACATAATTTGGCTTTGAAGGTGGGAAATCAGATTCGTAGTGTTGAACACAACTCTTTTTCATCGCGTTAAATAACTAGGTTGCAGAGGTGTGACCAAGTCACTACTTTGCAAGTCACACTTAAGTCACAAGTCTTTCCTGTCAAGTCTCGAGTCAAGTCCAAGTCAAAGACAACTAAGTTCAAGTCGAGTCCAAAGTCAATGAATTGGAAGTCTAAGTCAAGTCCAAGTCCTTAACTTAGAATTTTCAAGTCATATTCAAGTCATCTGTCCAACTTCATTTTAATGACGATAATAAATAAATTCCAGAGATGAAGCTTCGTAAAACTTCATTTATTTGCTTAAACAAGCAGAAAGTGCAACTGAAACTGATTATAAACAAAGTGCTGCTGCATTTAGCGGTACATCAAACCCAGAACGAAGAATGATTTATGTTTTTGTCCATGTCGTGCCACTTTTGTGCTAAAATATCTATTATCATGTCATCATCAAGTCAACAGATGCAAGTTGATTTAAGTCGCAAGTCAGTGGCGTTCAAGTCTGAGTCGAGTTGTAAGTCTTTATAGATTTTATCAAGTCAAGTCAGAAGTAATTAAAATAATGACTTGAGTTCAAGTCATGTGACTCGAGTCCACACCTCTACTAGGTTGCACACATTATCAGAGGGTTGCACTCCTTGTGTAACTGTTTGGTTTGCAATACGCCCAAGCTACAGACATTTTAGCCCTCCTGAGGAGATAAGATACATTAGCTCTGTATTAGCCTACTAGCTACAGTGTTGTTTTCCAAGAAACAAAGCACATTGATGTAGAGGAATTTGTTGAAAATAAAATAAAACATTGTTACGTTTGAAAATCTCGATCTCAGGGTAAATTTGGAAAGTCATGTTTGTTATCTTATATGGTTAAATCCGATCTTTTCCACTCGATTTGGACCATTTGAAAATCATGTGATGGAATTGGAGCGTCCAACAATATAATAACAGATCAGTTACAGTTACTTTAGATACTATAGCTTTTTAGTTAGTTTAAAACTTTAACTATTTTGCAAAAAATGTTATCTGAGTTTTTCTCTCAGTGGCAACAAAAAATAGTTGCTTAGACATTGTATTTCAATTTAGACGTTGATTCTACATCTTGTATTATGTTGAATTACCACAAAAATTGGTTCTTTTTATTGATGCCCTCAGCGGGGGGGCCTCCAGGCTGGCTGTCAGGTTGCACTGGCCCACCCTGGACCCCTCCTAGAGCCGCCCCTGCTTTAGATGTGCAATTGACTTATTCAGTCCATCTTTGTCTCGCTTTATTGAGCAACAAACTGGTAAAGAATTAAATCAACTTAATCTGGACGGATAATTTGAGAGATTATTGATTTAATTTACCAGCAGAGAGACCAGACGGGACAAACAGAGGGATGATGGTGTCACTGCAGCGACTCACCGCTCATCGGAAGCAGAGTTTGCTTTACTAAGTGATGAAGCCACCAGCTGTGGGTCATGTGACAGCGGTGGAGCAGGAAGTGATGTATGGGACTGTTTGAAAACAGGAGAAGAGTACTTCATTTTCTCTTTGTCCTCATCTGACTTGTTGTCTTCTGTAACGATGACAGCTCCAGATTTTCTCTTCTCTTCCTCCCTCATTTTCCTGTTGTGCAAATTGTCCTTCTGCAGCAAAAGGCCCTTTTCTTCTTTCTTTCTTCTCTCTTCCTCTTCCATCAGTTTCTTTTTTGTTATTTTTTCCTCATCTATTAGCCTTTTTTTCTCCTCCATTTTCTTCTTCTCTTCTTCCATCCTCATTTGTTTCTCTTGTAGCAGTTTTTTATTTTCTTCTCTCTTCTTCTTCTCCATCATTTCTCTCTCTTCTTTTAAGGCTTTCTCTTTCTGCTCCTTTAGTGATCTTTCTCTTTCTTCCATTTCCCTCTTTCTTCTGTCTTCTACCTCTTTCTTTTTCCGTCCTTCTTCTTCTAGTCTCCTTTTCTCCTCTTCATTATTTCTTCTCTCTTCTGCTTCTTTCCTTCTTTTATGCTCTTCCTCTTTTTGTTTCGTTACCTCCTCTTCTAGCCTCTTTTCCTCTTCTGCTATCCTCCTCCTCTCCTCCTCCTCCTTCTTTTTCTTCTCACCTACTTCTTTAAGTATTTTAATTTCCTCTTCCCTCTTCTTCTCCTCCTCTTCCTTCTTTTTTCTCACTTCTGCCTCTTTTCTCCTTTTGTGCTTTTCTTCCTCTTTCTGTTTCCTTACCTCCTCTTCTCGCCTCTTTTCATCTTCTGCCATCCTCTTCATCCTCTCCTCATCCTTCTTTCTTCTCTCCTCTACAGCTTTAAACATTTTAATCTCCTCCTCCCTTTTCTCCTCCTCCTCCCTCTTTCTTCTCTCTTCTGCTTCTTTAACATTCCGCCTCTCCTGCTCTTCTTTCATTTCCCTCTCCTCATCAGCTTTCCTCTTCCTCTCTTCCTCCCTCATTTCCTCCTCGCGTCTCTTTCTTTCCTTTTCTGCTAACTGTTTTCTTCTTTCTTCTGCTTCCCACTTTCTTTTCTCTTGCTCTTCTTTATTTTTCTGTTGCTCGTTTTTTATACGGCTTTCCTCCATGTTTCTTTTCTCCTCTTCCAGAAACCTCTTTGTCTCCTCCTCCTTCCTCTTTCTTTGCTCCTCAACCACTCTCTTTTCCTCCGTCCTTTTCAACTCCTCGTCTTTCATCATTTTCATGAATCTTTCTCTCTCTTGTCTTTTCTCCTCATCCTGTTTGGCCTTTTCACTTTTCTCCTTTAACTCTACAAGTCTCTTCTCTTCTTCTCGTTTTTTCTGTTGCTCTACCTCCTTCAGTTTCTCCTGTTTATCTTTCTTCTCCTTCAGGAGTCTCACTTCTTCATTCTTCCTCTTTTCTTTCTCTCTTCTGACATCCTCTTCCTCCTGTAAGAGCTTCCTCTTCTCCTCTTCAAGCAGTCTCTTCCTCTCTTCCTCATGTTTTCTTGCCTCCTCTTGTTTCTGTTCTTCTCTTCTCCTCCTCTCCTCTTCTTTCTTTTGAACATCTGACTCCCTCTGTTTTTTCTGCTCCTTCACCTCTGCTGCGCCCTCTATCTGCTCTGTCTGTGGCACCTTTCCTCCATCTGTCTTTTCCTTGGTTTTAAGTTCAAGACTGCAGAACAGATAAAGAGAGCACCTTAAATCCTTGTGTCTATGTGGGGTTCAGACTCATCAAATCACATCCTCAAACCTTATTTATGGTCAAAATAATCCTGGTTGATTACTTTAAAAAAGAAAAACAAAACTCACCTTGCAGGACACCTTTTGATCGTATCACACTTTGAGTCATCCTCATCCAGAAACAAGCTCGCTGATTCTTTCCTGTTATTAAGGGATTCACTATTGGATGTTTGGGGCTGAATTTCACTCCTAAAAAGACTCGTAATGCTCTCATTCACTGGCTTTTTCACAACCTCTTCAGCATTTGGCTGCTTAGGTGTGATAAATGCAGCAACAACGCTGCTGGAGGACTGATCTGGGGTGGACTGCTCACAGCAGGAGAAAGGCCATGGAGGGGGCGGGGCTATGATCAACTCAGAGCTGGACTGAACAGAACTAGAGAGAGAAATGTTGGTAATCACATGTGAGAGTGGAGAATTTTAATGTATTTTTGCTCATGCAAAACTTGTGTCAGCCTGTAGAACATGTTAACATCCAGGAGGCTCAAAACTAAAACTAGAAAATGCTGAGAAACTCGATTAAAGATCCACAACATGTTAATCAGCAACACACACGTTCGCATGGCAAATATTCTGAGCCGCTTGGATCATCTGGGAAACTGAAAATATTCTAAAACCTGCAATTTTCCATGTTCTTTAATCACATTCGGTTATTTAGTTTCACTGGCTGACTAACAAAAACAAAAATATTTTAACACTTTTAAAAATCTGTTTAGCAAAGAAGGAAATTAAATGTAATGTAAGCTAGTACAAAAGTATAGTAATAAACTATTATTATTATTACTGTTAATTATAAAGCAGTACAACAGACCTCTGCCCTCTTGCCATGATTGGACAGAAGTCCAAGACTCATGATTGGTCAGACAAAGCCTGTCATTGGTTCTTTGGGAAAGGAAGCTGGATTTGGGACAAACTGTTTAGTAACACGTAGAGTTGAGTTTTGTAACTGTAGACTGAGATGTGTGTTTTGAAAGTTGTGATTTGAAACTTGTACATTTTTTTCCTGCAAGTTACAAAATGAAAGTTACATGTTACTTGGTACAAGTTACATGTAATATTGTCCCAATCCCAGCTCCATACTGCAGACTTGTTAGAGGTGCAGCTAGATGACATTTATTGATGTATAGACGGCATAAATTGCGATGCTAAATTTTTACCACTCCCAAATGAGGGATGCTCAGGCTCAAAGTGGTACATTTTTAACAAGTACATGCAACAAGTACAAGTAATTTTTCTCTTATTAATTAATTAATCATAACAAACATGTTAAATTCCCAACCCTAATATTTATATGATTTTATTAAGCTGTTTAAAAAAATCTAACTGTTGTAACAGATAAAACCACCACAATACAAGATAGTTTACATGCAACAGATACCAAAGCCGGTGAACTGTTGAAATTCCACAGCGCATGAAGCAAAATCTTTAACCAAACTCAAGGGTTCGGTTAAGGATAGACGTGCATATGTTCTGTTCTTTTAATACTACAAAAAAAAAAAAAAAAAAAAACCTACAAAAAAGAGTTGTAAGAGGTGCAGGTAGAAAGTTCATTTGTTAGGTTTGAGTGTGTGTCATATTTCAAGTTTATGTGCTATTAATGTTATGATTTTTTATATAGTGCCTTTAAAGACAAAAATCACAAGGTGATCAAAAGCCAAAACAAATTATAGAATTAAAAAATAAGTGTAAAATAAAAAAAATAAAAACCTGCTAGGAGTGTTGTGTTTTAGAAACAGAAGAGACTTTGAGCTAAAAGAAAATAGTGTTCACAAAAACCATCATCCAGCCTGGACAGCTGGTAGGAGTTTGGCCAAATTTACTGTTTTATGAATAAATTATTTCAGAGAAGTCTGATGTTTTTGGTCTTTTGGTGAGAGTTGAAAGAGGAAATCTTGTTTTTTTTTTTTTGTCGTTTTGCAGTTTTGTGCCACAAGAGGAACTGAAATGAATTGGTGAAGGTCAGAATCAAAGAAACAAACATGGTTATAAAAAATAAAAATTAAGGTGGATGATGATGACTGTGGAATCCAACTAGGACAGCCCCTGGCCACGTTCTTTTGAAACTGGAGTCAGATTCCTTGTCTGTGCAACAATCTGACTCTGATGACATATTATAAAGATGCTTTGATCAGAAGATGTTTAATGCTGGTGAGTATGCAACAGAAGCTCTTTTTAACGTTTGAAACTAAAGCTGAATTACATTTTCTACAGCCGTCAAACCATTCACCCGAAACATGCTGAACTCACCTGATCTTCTCTGATTTCTTTTCCGTGATTGAATCCAGACCTGGTCTGACTTGCTGTTCAGATGTTCTCCTGTTTGCTTCTGCCTGGTGGTTCTGAGGAGAACCTTTGCCTTGACTCAATGGACTCACAGATGTTTCTTCCTCTACCTGAGCGAAAGGAAACGCTGAGCCTGTAAAAGAGCCACAGCATGATCTTCACTAGGACACATGTTTGGATGACAAGTTGGTTTAAAATCCATTCAGGCTGAAATGAAGACAGTTTGGTTAAAAAAGGCTGATGTACCTAGCAGACAGGAGCTGGTGTGAGGAAGAGAAGGAGCAGAAGACTGATAGAAAGTGAGAGGGGAGGAAAGGGAGGAAGGGAGAGGAGGAGCAGGGAGCAGGAGGGCAGCAGGACGAGATGGAGTCTCTGGGTCGCAGAGAGCATCAAGATCTGGACTGGACAGCAAAGGGACCGGGGTGACGTTGTCACCTTTGGGAGAGGGATCAGACTTAGGCCACGCCCCCTGACCACCTGAGGAAAATAGATAGAAAAGACAAAGTACTGAGGGGGTGGACAGAAGCTTATTTGGGTGAAACTAGATGACAGAAGATGAAAATTTCAAGCAAAGTTAAGAACTTGGTGACTTTGCATCAGTTACCTGACTCTGAGGTGGAGGAGGGAGTTTTAGGGAGAGACACAGTTGAGGTGAAAGGAGAAGCATCAGTGGCGAAAGGAGAAGGAGAGGTGGGACGGGCGACTGGTTTTACAACCTGAGGTCTGAAGATGTGAGAATGTCCTGAAGGAAGAATGGAAGAGAGGGCAAAAAGAAAACATGTAAGGTTTAGATAAGAAACAAGTGAGCGTCACAAAGGAGTGAGAAGTGAAACTGTGAAACACACCAGAAATGGAAGCAGAATCATCACCAGCTTGAACCTCCAGGGGGCGCCGCTGGTACTCTACAGCAGCTTAAAGAGAGAAGATTGGAAAAGTGAAAAAGTTTTAGTAAAGGTTTCTTGGTCCTGGAGTGAAAAAAAAAAAAAACAACAAAAAAAAAAAGTGAGACTTCTCTATTTCAGGTAGGGGGCTCTTATATAAATGATAACCACACATGCACCTTCTCAGTGGCCTAGCGGTAGAGCATTTTTAACTCAGAAGTACCCCTGAAGGACTGTTCGCCCTTTTATCAAAACTTATTTTGAGCCTGAGAGGGTTAAAGCTCTTGCGAATGTGCTCTCCCTACTTTTGTTCCAAGTCAAAGTTTCTACTTTCCTATAGATATTAGTACTACTGTAGCCTCACTTTAACTGTTATGGCTGCAAAGCATTGTGGGAATAATCAAATGCCCTGCAATCCAGTGCTTTCTATAATGAAAAACACACACACACAAGCATGCACACAGACAAAAACACTATGAAACCTTAGAGATAAAATATTTTAGGTGTATAAAACTATTCCCAAACCCTCAGTTTCAGTTTTCATTCCACACGTTCATTCGACTTTAGTTCCCTCAGAATAAATCCTGTTTCACTCGCTCTTTGCCCGTTTATTGTATCTCTCTAAACTCTTTGTTTTTCTCTTCCTGCCATTAAAAAACAACCTTTTCTCATTTTCCTGTTGACCTTCTTTGCAAGTATCGGTCTTGCAGAACTTTAGGCTGTGTGTTTCTAACTGACTCCTGTTTGGACTCACTTTGCTCACGTCTTTGAGACATTAATGCAATCACAAAGCTGGTGAGCAACCAGACTGACACAGAGCATGCTAGGATTAAGTCCAATAAAGTTATGAATGTTTGAATAAAACATTATCCATTGTTTGACACCTTCTGATCTTCTGGATCTCAATGGACAAAATGCAAACTCATGTATGAAACAAAATAAAATAGGACCAGCATGCATCTGTGATTGTTTAGTTTAGCCTGCTTCTCTGTACCTTTAGCTGAACCAGACTGGAAGATTCTGGGCAGAGAAGGGGGCTGAGAGGTGCTCCATGTGAGAGGCTGAATAGATGCAGGGTCAGAGGATGGAGAGGTTTTGTGGAGAGAGGAAGATTTGGAAAGTGAGGCAGTGAAGATGGGTTTGTGGGTCAGAGAAGTGGGCGCCACAAGAGATGGTTTTTGGGGACCCATGGAGGAAGACGTTGTAGTTTCAGGTGATGATGATGAAGGGGATGGATGTTCGAGTTGCTCTGGCTTTTCAAGACCTTTACTGGATGATGGGGGTTTAGAGGGGGCAGAGGTCAGCGATGAAGATGACTCTGATGGTAAATTAGGAGCAACTTTGGAAGATTTTGGAGATGGTGGATGAAGAGGACCTTGGATTGACAGCTCATCAGCCGTGACCTGGGATTGTGAAGGATTAGAGTTGCACATGGAGGAGTTGGGATGAACGGAGGTGGCTAATTTCTGATGCTTGGCTCTGGGTGATGGCTGAGGGGAGGGGCTAGGGACCGGCTGGATCTCTGATTTGATGGAACCAGCTGAGAAAGGATGTCGAGACCGGCGAGGTGAGGGGCGAGGAGCGATGGGTAGAGGAGGACGGGAGTGGACGGTGTCCTGCCCAGAGGCTGGGTTAATTTATGGAAAGAAAGGAGGATGAAAGATAAATTTAACAGAAAGAGAAGAAACCAAACAGAAAGACAAACTCATGAGCTGTGAAGACACCGAATATTAGATTATGTTTGGGATCACATGGCAGTTGGTGGCGATACCGTCATGTGATCTGTTAATCACATGACCTAAATAATTAAGTGTAACCACACACAAACCATAGAGCAGTGCAGGGGTTAAAGCCGTTTGTGTCTAATAATTTCATTAGTCGTTTACAGGAGATTGTCTCAAAACAAGAGGGCTGAACCACAGTTATATTTTCTTGGGTTTGAAACAGAACAGGATGTGTTGTCTCCATTTGGCTGCAGTTGCTCAATTCCAGTTAGGCAGCTGTGAATAGTAGACAAGTCTAAACATCTTAATTCTGCAGTTTTCATTTGAAAACCACTGGATGAGTTTGATTAGCAGAGTAAAAAAGGTGTAAGCAGGTGTTAGAAAGTAACTCACTGAATTTAGGTCGTTGATGTGTTTCTCCTTTTTAGTTCTGCTTAGATTTACAGACAGCTATTCATATCAAAGTTGATGTTTCAGTCTTTTTATTTTATTACAAGTAAACAAAAAGCTAATTTCTTCCACCTCTAAGAAATTGTTCTGCTCAAATGTCAGACACTTTGATCTGTTCTGGACTTGAGAGACTGAGTGAACAAACTTGCATTTATGTTTTTTTCCTGTCATGAATAAACAAATTAAAAAAAGGGTTAGCATTGCCGTAGGAACAGCATATTACTGTTTTGCAAGATCCTGTGTAATTTATAAGGCGTGTCTGTAATGACACACATCCACTACAGGGTCAAATTCAAAACTATACACCTATAAATGAGCTTTTGCCCTTCATGTGTTTGCTAAAGCTGCCATGGCTGTGTTGCGTCTATGACTCCAAAAGTTATTCAGTTGTAGATTCAATAATGACTTTCTAATTTCACATTAAAGAGCAAGTCACCACCAAATCAACTTGTTTTTTGCTGATGATCTACATAAATGAGTGTCTAAACGTGCTGTAGACACGTGTGGTCAATAATTTGGCTTTTTATTGCATCTCATGCATGAAACAAACTCTCCTCTCTCATCTGGTCCCGCCTCTCCCAATTGCTGATTGGTTCATTTTTCCATTTACCTATCTTTTCCATTTTCAGATTGAATTGTCATTAATGTCACTTATTGTTGTCACCTTTTCTGTTCACGTTTTATTTTTATTTATTTGGCAGATGCTTTTATCCAAAGCGACGTACAATGGTTAACCTTTAGGGCATGTTGTGATCTGTGGGGGAAAACGGAGTACCCGGAGGAAACCCACCCATGCATGGGGAGAACACACAAAGCCGCAAAAGGTGAACCACGTTTTAACAAGAAACTATTAAGTAACATGTTTATTCTGTTATATACATAAAGAAAGGTCAGTTTTATTCTTGACAGTTTCAGTATCTTCCAGAATGAGCTATTTCAGGACTTTGTCACAAGCTGCTGCAGACCATGCCCACTCATTCCTTACTCAAGCTGCTATAAGCTGAGAAGCTCCAATAACAGGGAGGGGCTCAGAGTAAAGCCGCTGTTCCTCCTGTCTGTACAGCTGAGAGTGGGTTCTATAAGGTCCCCATTTGTGATGTCACAAACAGGGACTTTTTAAAACAGCTTGTTTTAGGCAAATAATTCCTAAAACCAAACTGAAAAAAAAATACGGTTTTCCCCCCCAAGTTTAGAGTGTTAATAGAGATAGTAAAGATCACCATGGCAGCATAAAAGGATGGAAAAAGTAAAGTTTTACATTATATGGCCCCTTTAATGCCAATGTTTAAGACAGATTTCTCACACAGTTCATAGCACTTGAAGTTTGCTCAATGTCTAAAGAATTGTCTTGCAGCTGTTTTTGTGCTTTAGCTTGGAACAAGCAAGGATGGATGGTTTTCTTTTAAATTATATTCCTAAAAGTAAATTTTTGTAATCTTTAAAAATGTTTTACCATCATGTTCTTTATGGGAGGTATACTGTTAAACATGGTTTCACATTTGAAAATGATTCAAAATTCAAAAGACGCCATGATAATGACATTTAATTTAAATGCAAACGAAAGTCTAAAAGTCTGAAAGGCTAAAATTCCAATGCAGCAAACTGAAGCGTTTCCTGCCTTCGGTACATAGGTGCTATGAGTCTGGTATTACATGATTCTGAGATGTATTTAATGTTTAGGTGAGAAGTATGCAGTGTTAAATCTATCACAGCAAAGTGTGAAATACTGAGCATTTCAGTTATGGACCAGGAGAACCACCACCAGGCTGGTGCCTATCTCCAGCAGTCAACGGGCAAGTAGGCGGGGTATACCCTGGACAGAGAGACAGTCCATCGCAGGGCAACACAGAGACACACAGGACAAACAACCATGCACACACACACTCACACCCAAGGGCAATTTAGACAGACCAATCAACCTAACAGTCATGTTTTGGACTGTGGGAGGAAGCCGGAGTACCCAGAGAGAGCCCACGCATGCACAGGGAGAACATGCAAACTCCATGCAGAAAGATCCCAGGCCGGGAAGCGAACCCAGGACCTTCTTGCTGCAAGGCAACAGCTCTAACCACTGCACCACTGCGCAGCCCCAGTGGAAATCCCACCGCGTCAATTTTATGCTGTATTGTGATTTGCAGAGGGAACAACCCCTTTTTGTCCAGCTGTGACAAAAAAGGGCACTTTCGGTGTCGGGGTCTGACGCGGAGGGTCACTGACCAAGCGTTTGTTTCCGACGCGTTGGGAGTGAGAATGTGTTGCTTGAATAAATACGATGAATTTATGGTTTGGGTGAACATTAATATGATTTATTAACACTGGTCTTTCCTGAAGGGGCAAGCAATTTTCTAGGGGTGGCCATGGCCACCCTTTGGGGGCGCCACTCCTAACAATGTTACTGTTCACAACCCCTCTTCTCTGGCAGGGGAAAACAAGCGAGAAAGAAAATGGAGCTACCTGGAGCTGGGAAAGTGGCTCCTGTGGAGGTTTGCTTATCAGGTGGAGGAGGGGCGAGGCGGTTTGGACGAGTAAGAGGTTGCAGGGCTGCAGAAGCAGCCATGAAAGAAGAAGAGAGACCAGCGAAGAAGAAAAGAAGGGAATGTCAGAATTTTATAGAGTGGAAATGCATAGCATTGAAAATCATGGAGAAGTCCCATACCTGTGGCAGTAAAAGGCCTCTTGTCCTCATCTTCATCGCTTTCATTGAAGTCGTCTAGGTTGCCAATGTCAGTGGGTTTGACACTCATCAAGCTGGCGAGACTCTGCATGTCTTCATCACTGATGAACAAGAACCAACATCATTACAAAGTTGTCTCTCTAGGGGACATTGTCCTCATTTAAAATAAACATTTTATCAACCACAACTCAAAAATTCTATTTCCAAATGATAAAAAAAGAAAAATTCATAGACATGACTTCATGTCTAACTGCATACTAAAGATCACGCAGAAATGTTAACATACACAGTAGTCTAGAGGATTTCTTTCAGTTGTGGATATGAAATTAATTTAAACCACTCACGTGGCTTTTCCTTCGCGAACAAAGACACATGACAGCGACAGCTTCAGTGTGGCCTCCACCACTTTGACCGACAGCGGCTTCAGATGCAGGGTGAGGTCAGTCTGGGTCGGGGTCAGACTGGCGAAGCGCTTCATGTTGATGTCAGCAGACGCTAACACCTTATGGTGACCCTTGTTCTCCTGTATGTGATCAATTCAATTAATTTGTTTAGCTTTATTGGAACTTAAACTCAATGCAAGTCTTTAAATGTGGTGACAGTTATTGATACTTACTCCCTCGATGACAAAGGTCCATTCTTTGTCTTCAAACTCATCAGCGTTGGGTTCCTGTTAACCAAAGGACTTTCTTTTAAAACATAATTAAAATAAACACATACGTAAATTGTCAAATGTCTTACTGATTTTTTCAGATGTTGTCAACAGTGTGTTGTGAGTTTGGTACCTTGAATAAAGTAACGGAGATGTCAATGTTTTCTGGGACGGGCCACACAACCATGCCTCTGTAAGGGTTCTTAATCCCAGGCTGCCAACTGTGGAGCTGCACAACAAACAGAACATTAACACAGCTGCAGGTTTGTGTTTTGGATCAGCTGTGAGGTCCATCGTGTATTGTGAAAAACCCGTATACGGAGGTGGTGTCAAAGTGAGGGCATTTTGGTTGGACTCATTTTAATTTCAACTCCAGACAAACAAACCAGGTTTGGAGGTTGTTCTTCATTTGGAGTTTTGAAGCTACAATGCCAAATCTGCAAAACAAGCTAGTTTAAAACATTATTTTTCATGCCTCTCAACAACGTTCTAATATAGTTATAAATATTTTGCAGAGATTTTAGAAAGGGGGGAAAAAGTGATTCTCTTGCATTTGTCAAAAAACCCTCAGCCAATAACACATTTCAGTTGGAAAGCAACAATTGGACCATATGACTGTCTGCATTTACCTGGGTTCTCCACTCATCACGCTCTCATGCATTATGCAACAGAACACCACTGGTGTGAGAGGTTCTCCGCTCAATAATATCAGAGAATGAGAAACAGCCGGCTGCTACCACTTCAACTTTAGGACAAACTACCAGAGTCCCAAAAAGAAAAACATCATTTGAAGTCACGAACAACAAAAGACGTTTGGACGTAGAAAATGGCAACTGGCGTTTAGCGATCTCTCATTTCCTCTGGTAATGGGTTCCAGTATCCGATGGACGTGGCCTGGGGATGATAACTAACTGGAGTTCCATGACAATATTTGCATAAAAAAATATTAGCTTGTTTTGCAAATTTGCTATTGCAGCTTTAAAGGCAAATATAAAAGTAATGTCTGCAGACAAGTGTCACTGTAAAAATTAAAACACTGAATTTACTTGACCAACTAGCTGCTTAAATGTAAAGAGTGATACACACTGTTATCCATTGTCATGTTAAAAGTAAATGTATATTATTCTTTAAATTTAAGCAGCTAGGTTTAGTGAAGCCAGGTGACATAATTTGGTCCAGTAAATCCAACATTTAATTTTTGTAGTGCATACAGTACAGGTGCTGGCCAGTAAATTAGAATATCATCAAAAGGTTGAAAATATTTCAGTAATTCCATTCAAAACGTGAAACTTGTACATTATATTCATGCAATGCACACAGACCAATGTATTTCCGATGTTTATTACGTTTAATTTTGATATTTATAGGTGACAACCAATGAAAACATCAAATCTGGTATCTCAGAAAATTAGAATATTCTAAAGGCCAATGAAAAAATGTTTGTTTCTCTAATGTTGGCCAACTGAAAAGAATGAACATGAAAAGAATGTGCATGTATAGCACTCAATACTTAGTCGGGGCTCCTTTTGCCTCAATAACTGCAGTAATGCGGCGTGGCATGGACTCGATCAGTCTGTGGCACTGCTCAGGTGTTATGAGAGCCCAGGTTGCTCTGATAGTCGTCTTCAGCTCCTCTGCATTGTTGGGTCTAGCGTATTGCATCCTCCGCTTCACAATACCCCATAGATTTTCTATGGGGTTAAGGTCAGGCGAGTTTGCTGGCCAATCAAGGACAGGGATACCATGGTCCTTGAACCAGGTGCTGGTGGTTTTGGCACTGTGTGCAGGTGCCAAGTCCTGTTGAAAGGTGAAGTCTGCATCCCCATAAAGTTGGTCAGCAGCAGGAAGCATGAAGTGCTCTAAAACTTCCTGGTAGACGGCTGCATTGACCCTGGACCTCAGGAAACAGAGTGGGCCAACACCGGCAGATGACATGGCACCCCACACCATCACTGACGGTGGAAACTTTACACTGGACCTCATGCAACGTGGATTCTGTGCTTCTCCGCTCTTCCTCCAGACTCTGGGTCCTTGAGTTCCAAAGGAAATGCAGAACTTGCTTTCATCAGAAAACATAACTTTGGACCACTCAGCATCAGTCCAGTCCTTTTTGTCCTTGGCCCAGGCGAGACGCTTCTTGCGCTGTTTCTTGTTCAAGAGTGGCTTGACACACGGAATGCGACACCTGAATCCCATGTCTTTCATGAGTCTCCTCGTGGTGGTTCTTGAAGCGCTGACTCCAGCTGCAGTCCACTCTTTGTGGATCTCCCCCACATTTTTGAATGGGTTTGTCGTCACAATTCTCTGCAGGGTGCGGTTATCCCTAGAGCTTGTACACTTTTTTCTACCACATTTTTTCCGTCCCTTCGCCTGTCTGTTAATGTGCTTGGACACAGAGCTCTGCGAACAGCCAGCTTCTTTAGCAATCACCTTTTGTGTCTTGCCCTCCTTGTGCAAGGTGTCAATGATTGTCTTTTGGACAGCTGTTAAGTCAGAAGTCTTCCCCATGATTGTGGTGCCTTCAAAACAAGACTGAGGGACCTTTTAAAGGCCTTTGCAGGTGTTTTGAGTAAATCAGCTGATTAGAGTGGCAGCAGGTGTCTTCTATATTCAGCCTTTTCAGAATATTCTAATTTTTTGAGATACCAAATTTGGAGTTTTCATTAGTTGTCACTTATGAATATCAAATTTAAATGTAATGAACATTGGAAATACATTGGTCTGTGTGCATTGCATGAATATAATGTACAAGTTTCACGTTTTGAATGGAATTACTGAAATATTTTCAACCTTTTGCTGATATTCTAATTTACTGGCCAGCACCTGTATGTTGTTGTTTATTCTCTTTACCTTGGAGCACATGCGTCTGTTCCTCCTCGTCCACACTACCCTCAGCTTGTCCGGTTGCCTTCATAAATACAACAATAAATCGAACCGTTAGCAACATTAGCTAGGCACTTTGCTCAAACAGAAAGAAAAAAAAACCTGTGGAAAATTATCTTTTAATTAAAAACCAACTATTTCTAAAGTAGATAACATCATTTTTAAATACAGCTTTTAAACAAAGTGGACATTATGAAAAACAGATGACATGGGGTCAACCACAAGGTCTTGTGACTGTCACTGCTGACAAATATTGCCTCTGAGTCAAAAACAAGCCATCCTGTGTGTTTATGCAAATAGTAACAAGACTAATTTGTCTATTTGTATTTATGGACACAACATAATCCAAGTGGTAGTAGCACACAAAAAATCCAACCCTATGTGCTTTGATGTGTGTTGGAAAAAGTAGTTTTTGTCCTTTCATTGTATTTGCACATGTGGTGGTACAGGAAGTGAAACAGGAAACAGAGGAGTCATGTGACCTGACTGAGAGGTGTTCCTCTACAGGAAGACGGAACCCTCAACCCAGAAAACGTTCATGCTTGTGTAAAATATTACACTGATCAACAAAGCTGATCACAGAAAGCTTACAAAGACACTTCCTTAAACAACAATTTAAGATGTTTTACACAATGTGAATTCTCTCCGTTTTAAGCAAACTTATTTGACATTTATTTGTGAGCATGTGTGATTTATGGTGATGGGTGTAATATCAGAAATAGCATGAGCAGGAACATCTGTAGAATAACAACATGCCATTTTACAATGCCAAATCATTGAGTAGACACAGAGGCAGCAGTAGGGAACTATGATGAATTCCCCAAAGAATGGTGATGCAAAAAAGTATAATACCACATAATTATTGCTCAGAACACAATAGTCTTTGTTTTTACATACTGGACAGCTAAACCTGCAGGACGTGATAAGATTACCTTCTTTGGTATACAGGAAACTTGCCCAGAAAACATCACATATTCTTTGGCTGTTGTGAAAACTTCCAGGAAGTAGTTGCTTGTTTTTAAAATAACTCAAGTTGTGTTTTCACTCCCTTTTATTTCAATTTGTGGTCTTTTTTTCACTCCTGAGTTCCTTTTTGTGTTCTTCCTTTCGGTTTACTCCACACTTAAAACTAACAAAAGCCATTTTTGGTCCTGCTGTTTATGGAATACTTCATTGGTCATGAGTGATGACCTGAGCTTCTTATCAAAGTACTGAAAAGCTTTGAGCAATCTTGGTAGATAAGAGAGTCCAACTGGGCTGGAGAAAACATCAAAGGTTCCAATACACGACAGACACTTTCCGTTAATGTAAGCCGGGGGACATGGTTTTCATGTAAAGGTAAAAAGAAATGCTCCGATATAACAACATAACATTTCACAGGCGGCTTTATTTGATACACCTATCAATTGCTTGGTAACACAAATGTGTAATCAGCCAATCACATGGAAGTAATGCTTTTAGGATTCTTGGGGAAAATAGCACGCTGAACTTAAAATTGGTAATCAGAATCAGGGTTGTTCCACCCAATATTAAAAATGTGTCTGTTGACATATTTCCCAGAGATGGATAAGTGGGAAAAAACATATATTTTTAACCAGCTCAGTCATTCTTTTGACCCGGTTGCACTCCTTTAGTTTAAGCTTACCATAAAACATAGTAAGTGAATGGACCCAGCTAGCACTGTGAGTAAAAAGTCCTAAAAATCCTAAAAATCCTTCAGGAGTGATCCCAATTCTGCTTGGTAATCGGACTGACTACAAGTGAAAATACTTAGTAACATAAAGGAAGCACAGATGCTATTTTAGACTTGAAACTACTATATGACAAAGCACAGCTAACCTTGGCAGAAAGGTGCTAACCCGATCTAATATCGGAGCTTCTTAGCTAATAGCAGCCTGAGCTGGGTGTGAGTGGGCGTGGCCAGCTCAGGCTTGTTTTCTTACAGCAACAGAGCCCTGAAATGCCTCATACAGAAATAGTAGGGAATAAAACTGCTGAAATTGTGTAACGTGAGAGGAATTTAGTGCAAAGAACTTCATAAACATGTTTTTATAGATCATTGAAGTATTTTAACTTTAAAAAGTCACTGCTGTTAACAAGACTGGAAAGATCAGTTTAGTGAGAGTAACTGAATGTAAATCTGTGAATCTAACTTAGACCATAATAAACATTATTACCTTTTCTTGCATTTGAGAGAAAAACTTGAACTAATTATTGTGCTGGTTGTTCGGTTTAATGTCACACGTGGTTGACAACTGCCGTGGAACCCCTGCGTTCAGGGCCTAAGGAGAGGCGCTCAGAGCGGCAGAAAGACCTCCCACAACATGAGAATTCAAAATGTGTAGGCTACCAACGCAACACACCGCGTCATCGGAGCGTTACTCAGTTTTAAAACAGTAATAAACGTTTCCGTGGCGCACGCAAACCGGTTCACTCACCATTTCTTGGTGCACTCCAAAGTAAGTTCCTGATAAGAAGCCACAAACTGGAACTTGGAAGCCTTTTTACCGACCCGCTGCAGTCTCCTCCACACCGAAGTCATCACTTCTGGTGGTAAAACTTAACTTCACACTCTGAAAAATAGCAACAGAGGATAATCCAACGCTAGTGTCCGCCGGTTCTGCTCCTTATAAGGTTTTATTCTTCATCCGCAGTTGCTGCTGTTGAAACTCGCGCAAGTTGCGACTTGCGCTCATTTGCAATTACTGAGGACTCGCGCACGTATAATAAACAGAAAATGCGTCACATATTGTTTTGTTTCTAGAAGAAAATAAATAACGAACTGGGTATGTAATAGAAGGGGGGTGTAAGGAGAACGGCCCGACTCCCTCCGGCTCGCTGTCATTTACCCAAACTGGAGCTGCAGTTTCAGCTGGACGGCTTCAGGAGCTCTCCCTGTTACTGGCAGGAATCCGCATGGGAGGCTTTCTCAACTCAGCTGTTGTAACGCAGATCTGCTTCCTCTTGTGATAGTCAGACCCCCTCCTTCCTTCTTTCCTCCAGTGACAGCAGCCAGTCACAGAGAGGCAGGATATGCACAGAGTGGTTGGTATGATGCAGCAGAGGGCCATGCAAAATCCTTTATCTCGCTGCTGTGGAAGTCCTACCTGCAGACTTTGATCCTGGCTGTTCATATCATCTGGAACAACCTAATCAAGCTAAAAATATTCTGCAAACTCTTTTTTTATTATTATTGTTTTCGCAGGCTGGAAATGATGCAAATTCATTTTCATGACTCGAGTCACCTTCTTGTGCAGCTGCATCAACAAACATTACCTGAAAAAGTTGGCTTCATCCAAGTTTCCACACAAGTGTGTGTGTGTGTGTGTGTGTGTGTGTGTGTGTGTGTGTGTGTGTGTGTGTGTGTGTGTGTGTGTGTGTGTGTGTGTGTGTGTGTGTGTGTGTGTGTGTGTGTGCGCGTCAGGTCAAAGCACAGGGATTTTCCTCTGTGAGAGCAGCAGAGTATTTTTAGGTGGGGTAACTGGGATCATTTATGGACAGAGGCAGCTGGGTGGAGGAGTGTGGTGCAGCAGCAGGGGGAACAAATCCCTCATGACTCAGAGTTTGTCTATTATTACATTATGGGTCCTGCTCTATTGCTTTTGTCCACCGCCTGAACCAAACACACCAACAACAAGCCATGTCCTTTCATTTTCTTAAGCCGGTTGACAGTAAACATCAGGTTCTATTCACGCTTGAACAGGCAAAACTGAGTCTCATAATATTTACGAGAGCTAAAACAACAAGTGATAAGTGGTTATTTTGTGTTTGGGGTTTATCAAGTGTTCAAGGATGTTTTGTGTGATTTTTGCTAAATTTGATGGCTTGTTGTACAACGTCTCAAAATGTATCCCATTTTGTGGTTGTGGCGTTCACCTTTTATAACTTCTTGAGGAATTTTGTGTGTTTTAGGGATCATTTGGGTTTCAATCTGGTTTTTTGCAAACTTTTCTTCCTTTTGTGGTTTAGAATAACTTTTTTAAGTCTTCGTAGACACTCAGATCTAATTCTAAGTTATTTGTCACATTTCATGATTGAGTCATTTTAAATTTGCATAATGGCTTTCTGCTGGTTTTACATCTTGTTTTGTTGTTTATATTCTCTCCCCACATTTTTAGTTAGCTTATTCTTTTTTTTCATGCTAAATCCCACATTTCATGTTTTTGGCTTATGAAATTTTTAAAGACTTGTTTATTCAATACATTTGCAGTGTTCTCTAGTTTAATACAATGCCTATGAGTCATTAAAAAAGCGATGATGGTACTGTTTTGAGATGCAAAAGTTTGCTGGTGCAGAGGTGGGCTGAAAACTGCAGGATTTCTCATTATATGCACACACTTTGCTTTTGATTGCCTAACAGAACACGTTCAGCCATGTTGCAAAATCACTTTCACCAAGACACTCTCTGCTCTCCTCACTGCAAATTTAAAAAGAAAACCTCCCTGTGGGCAGGCGTAAGCCAAGATGGGCGAGGCCATGAATGCAAAATCACAGTGTGACATCACAGTGTGAGGATTTTCATTTCCTAACATTTCACCATCTTTTTTCCATCAGAAGCTAATGCAGAAGATAGAGTAGGAGGTAATTTTCATGTTCAGTCTGCATGAAAAACCCAGAGTTATTGATTATAATCTGATATAATCATTAAAAAGCATTTTTTAGTCAACACCTTTAACATATGGTTTCTGTTAGGTTCTTTCTATAATGTGAGGTATTTCACAACTTTAGGAATCATTGTGGCAGCGCTGTCTGGTGTTCACTGAACTAACGTCCAATAAAACTTATTTATTTGACAAATAACTCACTGGAATACACCGACTTTGTTTGCAGCAAGCATGCATGCAAGCAGAAACAACAAGAAGGGAAATAAATTAGCATGAATGCTGATTTCTAAATAGGTTTGCTAAAATCTGCTGAAGTTTTGCATGACATTAATTAATCAAAATTGCCAAATTATGTCTTCATAAAGTTGAAAAATAGTCAGAATTGTTGCACAAAGGAACTAAAGGGCAAAGTTGTGTTTGGAAAAATTTTAACTCTGAGCAGTTTTGGGACAGATCTGAAGCAATTTAAATCCAGACTTCTTGACAGGATAGTCCTGAAAGGTTAAACAGTGAAGCAAAAATATCAAAATACAATTTTACTTTTTACGCAAACATTGTTGTGACAAATGAATTGATGGAAGGTCTCTTAAATCTTCGGTTTGATGGTAAACTGTCAGTGGAGACATTTTTTCAACATTTCCACAGCTGTTCTTTATAAATAAAGTCCAGTCTGAGACAATCTCCTCAAATATCCAGACACAGCATGTGGTTCCCCCAAGGTGCTGCCTTTAGAGCAGGGGGTGGACGGAAGCAGGAGGAAAGGAGCTGTGTCGACCACGTTAAACACGCCCCCTGCTGGTCATTTAAGACAGTGCAACATTTAGAAACCTTTCTGTTTAACATAACAGCTTTATGTCAGATCAACAGGGTGGCCAGGAGTTTTATTGCTTGAAAATTGATTTCATTCATGTTTTTAAAACAAGCTTAAAAACCACTTTTTTATTTATTTGTAGTCAGATGGAATGGTGATGGTTTGGTAACAAAAACAGTAAAAAAAAAGTAAAAATCTGCTTTAACATTATTACTTTAGCATTTTTTAAACATTAATATTTTTGCAATTATAAGAGGAAGTGAAAAAGAAATATATCTCATTCTGATTATTAACCAACATGAACATCTTTTGTACGTTCGTTCAGTGCAATCTTTCCATGTAGCACACTCTGTGTTTAGAATAGAATATTAGCTAATATGTAACTATTATGTTTTACAGCATTTAAGCCTCCAAATAAGACAGGTGTGTCTTAATGTTACTTTTTTTTTGTTTTTTGTTTACTTTGTTTGGTTTGAGGAATGATGTGTCTAAAATAAGCTGTTTCAAAAAGTTCTCATTTGTGAGATTACAAACAGGGAAATTCGTAACTAACCCCTCCAGACTGGAGGAGCAGTGGCTCTACTCCAAGCCCCTCAGAGCTTCTCATCCTATAGCAGCCTGAGCGTTGCCAGTTGCAGCTTGTTTTCCTTAAGTGCAACATGTTCTCACACCTAAGCATTGAAAGCTGATGATGGGCCAAGCATTTGTTTTGGGGCAACGCGCTGTGCCAGAGAGTCGGCTTCCGACTGCCAAGGAAAGCAGATCAATCAAAGCTGAATGTTTTTGGAAGTAGTTTTTAGTTTGTTTTAGTTTTAGCTATTTTAGGGGGATATGTGTGTGTGCAGGTGACTATTACTGTGCATAATTATTAGGCAACTTAACAAAAAACAAATATATACCCATTTCAATTATGTATTTTTACCAGTGAAACCAGTATAACATCTCCACATTCACAAATATACATTTCTGACATTCAAAAACAATTCAAAAACAAACCCGTGACCAATATAGCCACCTTTCTTTGCAAGGACACTCAAAAGCCTGCCATACATGGATTCTGTCAGTGTTTTGATCTGTTCACCATCAACTTTGCGTGCAGCAGCAACCACAGCCTCCCAGACACTGTTCAGAGAGGTGTACTGTTTTCCCTCCTTGTAAATCTCACATTTGATGATGGACCACAGGTTCTCAATGGGGTTCAGATCAGGTGAACAAGGAGGCCATGTCATTAGTTTTTCTTCTTTTATACCCTTTCTTGTCAGCCACGTTGTGGAGTACTTGGACGCGTGTGATGGAGCATTGTCCTGCATGAAAATCATGTTTTTCTTGAAGGATGCAGACTTCTTCCTGTACCACTGCTTGAAGAAGGTGTCTTCCAGAAACTGGCAGTAGGACTGGGAGTTGAGCTTGACTCCATGCTCAACCCGAAAAGGCCCCACAAACTCATCTTTGATGATACCAGCCCAAACCAGTACTCCACCTCCACCTTGCTGGCGTCTGAGTCGGACTGGAGCTCTCTGCCTTTCACCAATCCTTTATGAATAAGTTTTGTAAATAAGTTCAGCAAGTTAACTTCCACAGAGTGTTACTTTGTTACAAAGCACAAGTATTACGTTTGATATATTGTTGCATTTTTATCATTTTGATATTCTTATAGGGATCTTCTGTCCCTAAACTTGTGCATGTTGTTAGATTCCCCAGAGTTAGCTAAGTCGGAAAAATCACTTTTCTAACCAGTTGTTTTAGCCTAAAACAATGGAAGGGAAGGCTTGCATTCACCTACAAAAAAACAAAAACAAACAAAAAACACTACAAAATATGTGAATTCACTTACATTGTTTTATGCTAAACTAAGAAAACCAACTGCTGCCAGATCATATTGGGCTGGTTATAAAATGCTTTTTCTGACTTGTCTAACTCTGGGGAATCTTAACAAGACACAATTTTACTGAGTGGTGGAATATTCCTTTAAGTTAAAATGTATTTGTGGAAACCACAGTTTACAAGAAAAAACTTGAATGTTAGATTTATGCTGTGACTGAGTTTGTTTGTTCTGTTGTTTTTGAGATCTGCAAAATAAATCTTATTTGCATTACTTAGAAACCCGAGTGAGTTATGGAGACAGTTCTTTGGTGTGTAATGGAGAAATAAGTTTGCATCAAATAGGCAGAGAATGAAGGGTTTAAGCTTAAGAAATTTTTTATTTTTCTTTCTTTTTTTTTGTGAGGGAGATTTATCTGCCATTATATCGGCTATCGGCCATTGTTAAAAATTTTATTCGGTATCGGTCCCAAAAAAGCATATCGGTCGGGCCCTAGTTAAAACCTACCTACCTGGTTACTCCACATACGTATTTCATGAGCATTTTTTAAACTCAGAAGTACCCCTGAAGGACTTAGTTGTTCGAACTTTTATCAAAACTTATTTTGAACCTGAGAGGGTTGAAGATGCATGAGAAGTTTTGTTAACAAAACCTTCGTCCCCTCTGAAATCTCTTCTGCCTTTGGTTGGGGGGTGAACTAGAGCTCCCCCGGAGCCAGATGTGAGGTTGGACCAGGAGACACAGCTAGACCGCTCCTGCTACGTGAGCACCAGACTGGCTGTGTGCTCCCCCGGAGTTGGCCCACGGAGTTGGGAAGGATGCTGGGCTCCACC